AAGGGCTATTGAGGTCAGGATCCTGTGCTCACAATGGCCAGCCAGATACCTCTAGGGAAGCCCATAAGTGGGACCCAAGACATCCTGTTTCTGACAGTAACCACATCTGTGACCTGTGATATTGAGATGCAACTTAGAAATGTCTGAATGGGCTGCAGAGCAAAAAAGTGTGATCTGAAAATTAAAGGCAGCTTACAAAAATTAAATAATCCTTAATATTAAATAAGCAGTAAAATCTGTGTATCAGAGGTGAGGTACCTCAGGGCTGAGGACAAAATTTATCCCTAAGTGCCTAACTAACTGGTTCTTAGGATGTGCTTCCTCAGACACGTACCCTCTCCCCACATCACAGCCCTCACCAACCCTATTTGAAACCTCCGTGAGTGTTTTTGCCTGGCTGGAATGGGTCCTTGAACTCTGGGTTATGCTTCTGGCTAGCCTGGGTGGAGGACAGACAGGGGTTCCCAAGCCTCTGTCTGCACTGTACATTTAAAGCAGTATCATACCACTTTAAACAGCCATGGCTCCACCCAAAGAATCCTGGGGGCTGCAGTTTGCTAAGGGTGCTGAGTGCGGTTAGGAGACTCCAACTCCCCTCACAGAGCTATAATTCCCAGAGCTCCCTGGTAGGAGGGAATCTTTGGGAATCGATTTAAGGCAGATGTAAGAAAAAGTGTCTTCCCTCAGTGTGTAGTTAAACGATGGATCTCTCTCCCACAGGAAAGCAGTGCTGGCCACCAACTTGAATGGCTTTTAAAAGAGTATTAGACAAAATTTGTGGAGGAGAGGGCAACTTGCCATGGTGGCTGTGCTTTGACTGCACAGCTGGAGTTGGTAATGTTTCTGAATACTGTTGGAAACTGTGGAAGGGGAAGAATCACCTCCATTCCATCTCTTGGAGTGGATTATCCACACTAGGGTGAGTGAGTCAGTTTTAGTCCCAACATCAGGGCAAAAACTCATCTGGAAAGGGTCTAGATCAGTGGCAGTCAACATGGTGTCCACCAGCTGCTCTGGATGACAGCTCCCATCAGCCTTTGCTAGAATGACTCTCCAACAGCTGAAGGGCACCACAATGACTACCTTAATCTACATAATCAGATTAATTGAGGAACACTTGAAGCTGGGAGACCACCTCCACCCTGCTCAAGACCTTGCCTCAAGAAGGCATGTTTGAAACCAGGTGACAGCTGTTTACAACAAAGAAGTCCACATATGCTTTCCTCCTCTAGAAGAAACTGTGCTGCCACCACCTTCGGTACAGATGGGACACAATGCTTTCTCAAATACACCTTCAATGGTTTACTGCCAACTGAGCTCTGCAAACCCAGGCCAGTTGACTTCATAAGCCAAAACGATGAGGGTGAAATGGACTTGATCAGCCACACCTCTCCAAGGTTCCTCTCCATATATTCCATACATGCAAACTGAAATGATACATGGTATTCCCATATGTATCTAACATGCTTCTATAAATTGTGGGATTTCCCCCTTTCATATTTAGCATTCCGTGGCCTGGTTCTTCCTTTCTTACAAGCTAGTGAACCTCATTTTTAGTGGCTCTGCCAACGCTCTTGAGAGCTCATCTGGGCAACAGAGCAGTCACCCGGTGTGCTGCTCCTCAGGCAGTTGGCCCAGCCAGATCTGTTGAAACGTCTTCCAATTCTTTCACTCATACCACTTTCCCTCCTGTGGGCAAATCCTCTGATAATGGCCTTTCCCTGTATTCTTCCCTTTGTTATTGCTTGCTGGCTTAATTAATCCCTCTTGGCACTTCTCTCGTGGATCCATATCGGCCATAAACTAACTCTAGAGTGGAGACCAAAGGAAATAATTATCATGGCATCTCTCCAGTGGAAGCGAGTTGTTGTTCCTGGAAATATACAACTCAGCTCAGGATGCAATTTCACGTTTCAAGTTTAGAACACCTGCTCAACTCCCAAAAGCCAGAAAATGCACAAATTAGATCTGCCTTGAAAACTGAAATATTTGAGATTTAGTTGGTTTGCAGATTCAGGATATCATTCTATGCTTCAAGTTAAAAGAAACTAGAAATCTGTCTACAAAAGCTCAGCAAAGATGTTCACCTGTGCCTCTTTGTTTATTTAAACAATTTATATGCCACAAAACCATAATAGTCTTTGAGCAGTTTATAAAGTTACAAGACAAAAAAGAAAAATCAGTCAAAACTACAAAAAGCAAACACTGACTGAAATGCCTGCTGCAATTTATTTTATTTTTAAAGTCTTCAGTATGTACCCAAGTTCATAAGGGTGTGCCTGACTTCAACTGGGAGTTCCATGAAATTTGGCAACAGCACAAAACCCATGATTCTGGGTGTTGTGCATGTGACCTACAGAAGACCATTAACAGCGACTCCCCTGAAGACCTCAGTGATCAGGCAGGGATATAAGGGATTAGGCAGTCCTTGAGGTGTCCTGGACCCAAATTGTTAGGAGCCTTGTAAATTAATGCAAGAACCTTGAACCTGGTCCAATAGTAGGTAGTGGAGACTTTTGAGCCCTAGAGTTATATGCTGGCAATAGTCTGTTCCCATCAACAGTCTAGCCGCAGCATTTTGCACCTGTGGGAGTAAAGAGTAGCCCCACATACAACACACTGCAATAATTGAATCCTAAAGCGTGTCATCTCCCTTGAGCATTTATGCATTCAAATACCAGCTGAAACCAGGCAGGCGCCTAGCCTAGTTATTTTTAAGTGACTACTGAGGACATTGCTGTGTAAGAAGGCTTTTTTCTGAGATGCATCCCAATCGTTTACAGAAGAGCAATTTTATATTTTATGAAATGCTTCCATTGTTTTTAGAGTTTTTTTGTGGACAGTTTTATTGTTTTGGAGCTTGCTGGATTGAATTTGTTGTTCTTGGCACTTGCATTTTGAGGTGTTCTGTTTTTCCATGGCTTTATGCCGTGAAGAGGTGTATACATTTGTTGAATAAGAACAAGAACAAGACAAGGAAAGCTGAGGAGTTTCTTTTAAAGCAAATATCAAATCCTTATTCATGCACAGAATTCATTCATAAAAGGGGATTAGGAGGATGTTGACTGGTCCCTACTCCTGTCTCCATGGTTCGACTCTTATGTATATAATATGTCACCCTACATGTTACAGGGATTGCACTAAAGACCTGATCGGATCCTGCTTTCTCCAACTATTTTCTGATGCACAGTGAAGAGCAGGAGCAAGAATGTATCCCGCTAGTTCTCTCTCTGATACCTTGTCATTCACACATGTAGGCTCAGTCTAAACAATTTCCAGATTGATAGTTTATTACATTGCAGATGGATGCAGACACAGGATGGCACAAAGTTGGGCCTCGTCCACACACCACACATTTAAGGCACTACGATGCAGTCATGGCTTCCCCCAAAGAATTCTGGGAGCTGCAGTTTGACCCCTATTTCCCCTCATGGAGCTACAATTTCCAGAGTCCCCTGTGAAGAAGGATTGCCTATTAAACCACAATGCTTCATGGTGTGAATGTGGCCTTCAAGGTAAAGGTAAAGGGACCCCTGACCATTAGGTCCAGTCGTGGACGACTCTGGGGTTGCGGCGCTCATCTCGCTTTATTGGCCGAGGGAGCCGGCATACAGCTTCCGGGTCATGTGGCCAGCATGACTAAGCCGCTTCTGGTGAACCAGAGCAGCGCACGGAAATGCCATTTACCTTCCCGACGGAGCGGTACCTATTTATCTACTTGCACTTTGACATGCTTTTGAACTGCTAGGTTGGCAGGAGCAGGGACCGAGCAACGGGAGCTCACCCTGTCGCGGTGATTTGAACTGCCAACCTTCTGATCAGCAAGTCCTAGGCTCTGTGGTTTAACCCACAGCGCTACCCACATCCCAATGTGGCCTTACAGGCGAACAAATGAGTAAGTGAGATAGACTCAATTGGCCATTTCTATTGCCCATTGCTTTTCTTACCTCTTCAGGGGAGGATATTCACAGGATATCTGCAACAAGGCTTCTTTTCATGAATGGCAACAACCCCTTGTCAATCGTTATTATATTTACACCGATTTTGTGTCCAATAGCAAATGATTTTGCAATTTGACCCAAACAAGTTACACTCCATCTTTTCTCTCCTCCACACACGCACCCTGGGCTGTGAAGCCTCATTATCAACAGACCGAATCAATTGCTTTTAATGGCAGTGCCACTGAGTTACGAAATATATCTATCTATATATAGCAGTCCTACCTGGGAAATATTTTTTAAAAAACCATTTACGGCTCTTCACTTTGCTGTCTCAGTTTGCAGAGAACATCTTTATCTGGATTGTTCTTATCTAACCCCATGTGTGTTTCTGTCAATATCATAACTGCTTCTCCACAATACCCATTACCTTCATGTCTGTTATCAATGCTGCCATTTAAACAGACCTTCCCCCTACGTGCTGTAAAGTCTGCACTGCTTGAATCTATGCTTCTTCTGGCCAGTGACCAAGGTGCTTCAATTGATTTTTTCCCACTTCCCCCCTTTCTTTCTTTCTTTTTTTTTAACTAATTCCCAGCAAGATCAATGGAAGAGTGGAATTCACTGCTGTGCGTCTCCTTTCATCTCGGTAATCAGCTAAATGGTTGCAGCACACCGCAGAAACGAAGGCTGCAAACAAAAGAGATGGTTGGATGGAAAGATAAGATGGATTAAAACCTCCAGGATCTGTTCTAGCTGGCCAAATGGAACTACCCTTCCCGTAGGTTTGCCACGCACGAGGCAACATGAGGCGAAGAACTAAGGGTTGTTGTTTTTACCATAGAACAGATGGTGAGAGGCAGGTCTTTGGGAGTGCAAGGCCTCTGCCCAGGCTCAGCTGAAAAGCAAGTTCCATTAGGCTCAGCCCACAACAGGTGTCCACACCAGCCATTCCATCAGGAGCAAGGGAAAGGTGGAGCTGAAGATCATAGAGTCGTGGAATTGTAGAGATGGAACAGACCTGAGGATCATCAAGTCCCTTGTGATGCAGGACTATGCAGCTGTCTCATATGGGAATTGAACCAGCAACCTTGGCAATATCAGCACCACACTCTAACAAACTGAGCTATGTCCAAGATGGGGAAGAAACTTTTGTTATTATTACCGTTATTTAGAATGAGAAACTACCTGATTTGCATCCCACCCAAATTTTTCAGGTAAAAATCAGGGAATGCGTGTCTTCCAGGATGCACTCCCAGGCGAGTCATGTGATCCACACTGTGATCTCATCCCCAAAAATGCTTTTATATATATATATCTCGCGTAACTACAAAAACATGCGTGTTTGGGTGCCGTGTGAGATCGCGGCCCCCCAAAAGCGGTGTTTTTTTAGGGTACAAGATCGCAGCACCCAAAATGGCTGCCATGATCTCCTGTGGAGAAACAAGATGCCCCGTTTATTTTCGGGACACTTGGTGGGTTTGGATTTGAATTTATCAAATCAATCTTGGAACCGAAACACAGCTATCATTCAAAATGCACACTTCTCCAACCAAACAATGTGTGCAAAAACGCATAGATTAGGGAGGGTAAAGTGTGGATTGGGGAGAGGGCTACGGCAGTGCCAGAAAGGGACAAGGAAGTGGTACTTTGCTAGTACCGCTTGGTACTTGGTACTGGCCTGAAAGCATCCTTGTATGTAGCACTTGGAAAGGGTCTTGAGAAGCCCTGTTCCAAGTGCAATCTAGGATGTCAGGTGTAGGACAGGTGTGCCCTACATCCTTGCAGGCTGCATGAGAAGATCTGGTGGGTCTACTGAGGTTCCCTGCCCTTGCTGGAGGGGCACAGGGTAGCTTAGAACATTTTGAGAATTCTCAATTCCAGCTGGCAAGCGAACAAATGACGAAACAATTTAAACATCAAAAAACAATTCCAGTACTGGGAAAGATCTCCACTGAAAACACCTGTTGGAAGAGGAAGGTGCCAAAAAGCAGGGGCGGATTTTGGTAATATGCCACCCTGAGTGAGGACCAATTTGAATAAAATATGGGGGGCGGCAGGTAACCCCTACCATGCAAAATCAATCACACACCATTTGAATGGCAATGCCCAACAACTTTGGGGGGCAGCCCCCTCAAATATTTTTATTGTGGGGGCCAAAAGGACCTCGGCCACTAGGAGTTGGCTCCTATGGTGAGGACAAAATTTTACCCCCGCCTCTGCAGTAGTTCTTAGTTTCACAATAATTCATTTTGGTACAGTTGCTTTGTAACGGATCTTCTCAGTAGGTAAAGGTAAAGGACCCCTGGATGGTTAAGTCCAGTCAAAGGCAACTATGGGGTTGCACCGCTCATCTTGCTTTCAGGCTGAGGGAGCCGGTGCTTGTCCACAGAAAGCTTTCTGGGTCATGTGGCCAGCATGACTAAACCGCTTCTGCCGCAACAGAACACCGTGACGGAAGCCAGAGCATGCAGAAATACCGTTTACCTTCCTGCCACAGTGGTCTCTATTTATCTACTTGCACTGGCGTGCTTTCGAACTGCTAGGTTGGCAGGAGCTGGGACAGAGCAACGGAAGCTCACTCCGTCACAGGGATTCGAACCGCCGACCTTCTGATCAGCAAGCCCAAGAGGCTCAGTGGTTTAGACCACAGCGCTGCCCGCTCCTCAGTCGGTAACTGTATAAATATAGGTTTACCATCATTATAATCATTATTTTGCACCCCCCTTGACTTGATGTCCTAAATCCAACAGTGCAAAAAGACAACACAAATTTGTCTGACACACAAGGGGAGGGAATTTCAAAGGGCAGGTGCCACAATACTTAAAAGCCTGATTCCTATATTGTGCACAATGAACCATCTGATAAGATTGTATCTGCAGGAGACCTGCAAAATGGAGGTATAAATGGTGAGGTGATCTTTCAGGTATCCTGGTCCCAAGCTCTGCGGAGGTTCGTATACCAGCACTTCAGATGTAGCCTGTTGTCTAATTGGAAGCCAGGGCAATTCCTTCGACACTGACATAAATAGTGGGAATATCCTGCCCCAGTAAGCAGTTTTGCACTAGCTTTCATGCCAGCCCTCAAGGGCAGCCCCATGCAGCGAAGATGAACCCCACCATAGTTGAATATTCCCAATTAGGACATCACCTTTGTATTTCAAGCACACTCCTACATGCTCCCTTCTGGAAACAGTGCTTGTTTGAAGTATGCCTCATGGTTTCCTCCTTGCAGGACAGCGGCTTTCCATTTAAAATAGAAATAATTAAGCACACCATGCGCGGGGAGCAATCAGCTCAGGGGTTAATAGAGAAATCCTTCCCCGTGTGGCTGTTTTGAAAAATCATCATTTGATAAGAATTAATATGCAGCCTTTTGAAGATTTTAAAAGGCCATTAATCCCCAGTTACCTGCAGTTTAACATTAGCAAGAAAGCTGGTGAAAAATGATTTCCAAGTGCAGATTGTATTATACATTATGGATTAGTGTTTCAATATAACCAAGATTCTTGTCTTCAAATAAATTGATGGATATGCTCATAAGCCTCCCTATTTAAGACCCTTTGAACAGACACAGCACCCCTCCAAGGAACAACAACAAAAAAGATTATCTGACACATTATTGGGAGTGAAAAATATCAGTTCCAAAATATATTTCAATGCGCCATTAATGTAGCCAAGTTCCCACCATAATCTCAAATATATGTCCATTTTAAAATGCACTGTTTTCTCTGGATACCCGTCTTGCACATTCAGGCCCACCCTTACATAATTTATTATTATTACTATTATTTTTAAAAATATATGTTTATACACAATAAGTTATCCATCTATCATGGGAGCAACGGCTTATCAGAAGCCGAGGGTCTAAGAGAGTATTTTTTGAAACAGGCATGTCTCTCCCCCGACGTGCCAAGCCAAAGCCATCTCACTAAATCATCCTGTCCCTAGGAACACACATGAACTGTAAATGAATGAGGCAGGCAATTTTGGTTAATTGGAATCAATAACATCATCCTGTAATTAAAGAATATTGATTGCATTATGCACAGGGCGGCCTTGGGAAGAATATGCTTTAATGCCATCCCGGGTTGACTTGCAAAACCATGTCAAAGGTCAAGTATCCCTTTCAGTGCTACGTTCAATACAACAGCAAGCGCCTTTCTCTGCGTCGTTGGACAGAGCTCAGCTGTGCTGGAGAAGTTGATTTCCAGAAGGCGCAGCAAGGAAAGCTTTGCTGATTTCCAAAGCGACGCCTTTGATTTATGAATTTCTCCTTGCAGTGTAAGCCTCTCGTGGATACAGGGAGTCCATTTTGGCATGAACCCTGCAAGCGAGAAGGGCACGAAGGATGCAAACTGATGGCAACAATGCAAAGTGCTGGGAAAGTATTACGGAGATTTCAATCCCATCACAAATTACAGCAAAAGGAAAGATTTCAAAATGCGCATGCTTCCACTCAGTGCCAGATTTACGTATAAGCTAAACAAGCTATAGCTTAGGGCCCCACTCTCTTGAGGGCCCCCAAACAAATTAAAGGGGAAAAAACTGGATGTACATTTCCAAAATATAAGATAAAAAAATAGAATAAAACCTACATACAGCAACAGTGTTTTGTGTTGTGTAGGCTCCTATGATGCACAGTAAGTTTTTGGCCCCACCTGCTAGTCTGCTCCCTAAAATATCACTGGTTTGTGCATTTCTATATATAGGGTGCCTACATTCTGCATGAACAGGTTGCAAGTCAACATGTGCAAATGGTTTTAGATAACTATTAGGTCCATAAATTACCATATAGCATATATTCAACACACAAAAAACAGCGACAATTTGTTGTTGACAAAGGACAGCTGGACATATAAAGGGCCCCATTACCTCCAGTAGCTTAGGGCCTCATCCACCCTAAATCCAGCCCTGCTTCCACTCCCATCCAAGCCTACAGCAAAGGAAGCATAAAACCAAACCTTAGAGGAGCTTTCATCAACTAGTTTGACTCCATATGTTCTGGACTGCAACTTCCCCACCAGGAGCTGCAACCCAGGTATCCCCTGAAATATTGCAGGGATTTTGGATTAAGGAAACGTGTACATGCACCTCCAGACTGTCACTGTTTTGTGGGAGGAATTCAGGCACATATCAAACTTGTTGCAGTCTGGAAAGCAACTGACTAGTAGGACAAATGCTCATTTTCACAGAACCACCCCACAAATATGAATACTCCGTAAACACCAGATACAATTTCACTTCTGTGCAAACTTTGTGCAAGCAAATCAGAATGAATGCTTAAATAAAGAGGTTGTCTGCACCCAAATGGCCTCTGTAAAATATCTATCCTATTTGCAAACAGAAAAAAAAAATGGGAGGGACCATTGCAACAGATTTTGCAAGGGAGAGAACACCTTCTCAGGAGGATAGGAGGTCTACAATTCTATGATACACACAATTGTTTTGTGCACATATACATAGGAATGCAAGAAGATGCCTTAGAGCTTCTACACAGTCATAGAACCGTAGTGTAGGAAGGGACCACGAGGATCATCTAGTCCAACCTTTGCAATGTAGGAATCTCAGCTAAATCATCCATGACAGGTGGCCATCCAACCTCTCTTAAAAATCTCCAAGGAAGGAGAGTCCACAACCTTCAGAGGGAGATCGTTCAGCTGTCAAACAGCTCTTACTGTCAGAAAGGTCTTCCACATGTTTAGCTAGAATCTATTTTCTTGTACAGTGGTACCTCAGGTTAAGAACTTAATTAGTTCTGGAGGTCCGTTCTTAACCTGAAACTGTTCTTAACCTGAGGTACCACTTTAGCTAATGGGGCCTCCTGCTGCCGCCGCGTGATTTCCATTCTCATCCTGAAGCAAAGTTCTTAACCCGAGGTACTATTTCTGAGTTAGCAGAGTCTGTAACCTGAAGTGTCTGCAACCTGAAGTGTCTGTAACCCGAGGTACCACTGTAACTTGAAACCACTGGTTCAAGTCCTACCCTCCAGAACAGGTTTTCTCCATCCTCCATGTGACAGCCCTTCAGATGTTTGAAGATTGTGATGATATCTCCTCTTAAATCTTCCCTTTTCCAGGCTAAACATAGCCAGCTCCTTTAAACGTTCCTCATAAGGCCTCATGCTCTTAGAC